TCTCAGTATAATTTCTCGCTTCAAAATCTGTACACCATCCTAAAATGACACTGAACATAAGGAAATCCATTTTTAAATCATCCTTTCCAATATATTTTTCTATGTGTACTTTGTTGTGGAATCATACCTTACAAACTTCCACAATACTGGACTTCATCAACTGCCAGCATTTATGTACACAGGTATGTCACACCACAATAACACAAGAGGATCCAAGATACAGTCTGCACCTGTACACTGAATCATCTTCCAGAAATAGGAAACCTGTTATGCAAAGTCTTGGAACAGAGGATCTACAGTTATCCAAACAATTAACTAGCATTGAAATTGATTGTTACACAAAATACAAACATACTGCTTTTTCTTCACAGATATTTAACTGCTAATTACTAATGTAAATAAGGTGCAAAAAATATATCCTAAGTTCAAAGCTTTGTCAATAAAAATATATATTGTCATTATTGCTATTAAACAATGATAATCTTTGTTTTATTAGATCTGAAGACCATATCCTAAGGGACATAACACCTAATTTTTTTGATCTATTTCCTTTTCTGAGATACCTACTAGTGTCATCAAGTTGTTTCCAAATTGGTAACAAAATATAAAGTTTAAGGAGAAACACACATGAAAACGTCCTGAAGCTTTCACCTCTCGCTTCCAAACCAGTGTACGAATTTAATATAAGCTCATTTTCCAAATAACCATCAACAGGCTCTTTGAGACAATTTGTCCAAACCACCATCTTAATAAAGCACTACTTTGGCTCAAATGTCTTCAAATAATGGTAACCTCCTCAAAGCTGATGATTTCTAAGAAGTATTACATCAAATCTGGGATAAATGCTATGTTTCACATGTTCATTCCAGTTACATGAATAGTCAACTGAAAATTTTGTGGTTATTCTGTTCCAAGACTGAATAATGCTCGACAAGAGTGTGACCAAAACGTAGCCTTTATGTTTTTTCAAATTCTCTGGATGTTGAAATTTATTATCATGAGTTAGCTACTAGCAATCATTTTCAGAATTATCTTTTTAGTAAATATATTATTAATAAAAACAAAGATATCTTAAAGCAGGAGCCAACAAACTAAGTTAGTAGCAAGTGATTGTTCTGCCAGGGTACGTATTTAGTGTTTGTTTGCCTAGCTCTGCCTTAAAATCACATGAAACTTATATGTCAGTCAATTAAGTAATAATTTATAATTGATTTTGTTATTATTTATCTCAATACCTTTCTACGTTTACTTAAGAACGCAAGATTCTAAAAACATACCTTGCTATCATTTCCCGTGAATTATAATTAAAATGACAGTTATGTTATTACTCCTAAAATGTACCAGTGCACCTCCCCCTTCATGTAAAAAAAAGATATGTTGTAACAAAAATTCAAAAGAAATAATGTTCTCATAGTTAAGAAATAAACTTTTTATATTTATTTCATTCCGTCCAATCAATATTCCAGAAAGTCACCATTCTTCTCACATAAATTTCGTCTCCGATCCACATGGAGTAAGGTAATTCAATTCAAAGTCCCATCTCTTTATAGAAATTCAGAAATATTTAAGGCATGGTTTTATAGACACTCATTTGAACTAATTTTTATATTTGGATGTTGCGTGATAGGCAACTACTGACACTGACTATGTTTCCGTTTGAATAAAAAAAAATATTCCTCGAATATTTTGCACTAATAAGAGGCTTTCAGATTGTGTTTTTGAAACTTTAAAACAAATTTAAGAATATCCAATGGCGATATATATTGGTAACAATATCCACCACATTGTTCTTTAATGTAACAAGTTCTGCTATTTCGATCGACCTTACACCGAAACAGATCGCTGTCAGATTTGTTTACATTGTGTCGCGGCTTTCTCGCCTGTCTCATTTCAGGTTTATGGTGTACCAACACAATGCCCAGTATTGACAAAAAACGTTAAAGCAAAACAATTTTGTAGTTACAAGAATTGCCCGCGTTTATAACACTTGCAAAGTCTTAAACTGCTATTCATGCGCCAGTATTAATGCATACAAACATCGCTCACACCATTGTATTGTTACGTCGTCAGCTGTGATGACGTCATTCAAATCATATTGTGACGTACAGTCCGAATGACGTCACAAATGAGCAGTTCCAGATGCTACCATGGGAGACAGCCGAAACGGCCGACTGATGACATTGTACTGCTGTACCCGTACTCGATGTCAATGAGTGCAGATACAAAAACGTGTGTGGACCTTTTGGTTTACTTTTGTGTTTACAATGTCGATATGTTGGCCAGTTTCCGGGTGTTATTGAGTATTTGAAGCACGGGAATATTTCATTTGAAACCTCCGGCTGACGTCGGTTCCAAATGAATTTGAAATTGGCCAACACATCATGTTTATCTCTAATTGACGTCACTACGCCATTCTCGTCTGTCCCCTTGGTAACCGACGTCAGGATGCATGTCAGTTGTGACCTAACTGAGAGGTCATCGGTTATCCAATCAAATCGTTAGAATCTCAGGTCAAGTCTTTACGACACAGGTCAACGCGATACGACACTCGTGTGATGTACGACACCTGTATGCAACTACCCATACGTTGACCACGTGGGTAATAAATTTGTTGTAACACTGCATCGACCACCGGTGGCCAAGTAGCGTGATGTAGGATAATGAAGTCGAAGTATATCACAGACGATAGAACAATTTTCCTATTACTTTAACCCTAAAACATTTATTAACATTCAAATTCTGTATTTCACAATCCACTGCTTCAATATATGGGAATACAGCTGTGCATTTGTACCGCTCAGTGTTCGATGTAACTGTACTACATGTTTCTATTTCTACTTTCATATGCTCAGAGGCATATGAGCATACCTACGGCATCCCTTCCATGTCTACGAAGTGCCACATAGCATATTTAACAAAAGAAGTGTCCGGGATTTCATGCAGTCCCGTGTTGAGAAGGACAGGCTTTTTGGGTACCGAGAAGACAGTTGACTAGTTTGGGCCATATTTTGCTTAGTCAGCGCAAGTCGTATGCCAGCACAGTGGTACAAAAACCTTCCCCGAAAAAACAACTTCTTCGATATGTGTAGGTGGTTTCCGCTGACATTGTGAGTTAATATGAGGTGTTATTTTGAAGTTTGTTCAAAGCTCCAATATGGCAACCAGCTGCAGCCATTCATCTTTGATATATAAACGAAAATACGTTTAGCATCTTCTCCAAGACTTCAACAGTTAATCCACAGTTGTGATATGGCTATCTGTGTAGCGCACAGTATGTAACAAATAATATTGACCCGAACTGAAATATATTGCTGCCAAACGGAATATCAGCAAATAAAAGGGTCATCACCCACCCGTCCTGAGCATTTTCTTCTTCTGACAAATGTTATGTTTGGGGAAACACCTTGTAGGTAAAGTACAGATTATGGTACTTTTTGGGTTTAGCCCTATCCGGGATTTGAACTTAAACTGTCACAGTCAGGCACACAAGGAAAGCGACCTAGCCTTTGTCGGCATCCACAAAATGGACGTCTGAAGCTGGGCCCTTATTCTCGATGCGTTCGTAGCCCTAAGAAATCTTAACTTATCCAATGTGTTAAGAATGGGCTTAAGAAGTTCGTAGGGCTACGAACGTTTCGAGAATAGCTGGCCCTTATTCTCGAACCGTTCGTAGCCCTAAGAAAGTTTCACTTTGATCGTAGCCATTGTGTTAATAATGGGCTTAAGAAGTTCTTAGGGCTACGAACGTTTCCAGAATAGCTAGCCAGATGTTTACAGGTGTACATTGGGACGTGAGAGACGTGACACTTGACACGTCGGAGGGGTACACAAAGTACGTGCCCTGGACAGCCAGCTGTCAGACTTCCAGTTGTTAAAACTGCGGTAGCGTAGTAGCTACGATCACAGCCAGACTGTTAAGTGTCTTTGTGTAACTGATCTAATTTTAGTTGATATATATCCTAAAGAATTAAAGAACTCTACATGACATATGGATTGACCTAAACACGATTGCACTCGAAAAACAGGACTATCACTTTTACCAGTTATGGCATATTCATCATTATAAACTGTGTGTATTGTTATGATGATGTGTTTTTATAGTTGATACTTCACACCAATTAACTTTTAGTTATCATGGGTCAGAAAAGTTTATAGTGTGGTTTTGAACTCGCATCTTGAACTTAGGTAAGTTCAGCTGTTAAGAGTTAGAGTTACCACCTCTTCCTTGATGACAGTGATTCTCGTGTTTAAATGGGTTTTCCTAGTTTTCGCTAGAATTCTCTGGACTCCCAGGACTTGGTTGTTGAGATCACGCTAATTTCTAAATGTTAATATCCCTACCGACCTCGCCTACATTGATCAACAGCTGGCAACGAGATCCATCAAATGTGTTTTATTTGTGACCAGATAATTTACAGAAACCTTATTTGTTGTTTATTCAATATATACGTATATTTTCCTAGACAACCGACAACCCTATTATGATTCGAATGTACGTATAGACAACCGACATGTTATGTTACTCCTACGTTGTTTAGACGCTTCGAAAGAACTGAGTGAGGGAGTGTTTTACGTCATACACGTCCCTGTTTCATTTAAAGAAATGGTTGGCTCAGTCATCTGTTGATAGAGGACTCACTCACTCACTCACTCACTCACTCAATCACTCTGTGACATAACACAAGCTTGTGGGTTAAGCCATGTAAGCCAGCTATTCCCATTAGTCAAGGTGTAGGCTCGGCGAGGAGAACCTACTTCACCGATACAGTTACAACATGACATTCTGCTACCAGGGACATACGACAACGTTAAAAGACTGTACACACGGGCAGAGAGACCTGCCAAGAGTTAAATTGGAGATTATTTAGTGTTTGAGATAAGACGAGTGCGTATGCAATATTTCAGTGCATAGTTACTATCTCGACCGACGTCATGTTATGTTTGTTGTCTTTTCCTTCCTTGTCCCGTGCTACGACCTATCGTTGTGACACTATCAGGTGGGTAGTCGATTGTGGGTTGAACATACACCACAATCCACCATGGACGTGCTCTACTGCCTCACTGGACTTCTGCTGGTTCTGACTGAAGGTAAATGTTACTGTCTATCAGAATATTGCTACGATTTAAATATTCTCATCAGAATGAGTTGGTTTCGTTCTACGTTTAGTGTTAGCAATAATTCAGCAATATCACGGCAAGGGACACCAGAAATGGGCTTCATACATCGAACCCTGGTCTTCGGCGTGACGAACGAACAATTTAATGGCGAGGTCCCCCCAGGTATTGTTTATAAAGAGTTGGGTTAGTTGGGAAAGGTAGTTATCGGCGTCTTAAACTATATCAATTGATATATCATGTATCATACAAGATTGGAGGACACGTTGCTTGTGGATGTATTTCCAAGATAAGCTTCACCTCTAGTTTTTTCCACCCACATTACACTGACACGCTATGCTACACTTGACATGCAGTTCAGAATGGCGTTAGCCTCAGCAAACTAATTCACTGGTTCAGTGTTGTTTCAGAATGACGTTAGCCACAGCAAACTAATTCACTGGTTCAGGTCAGAATGGCGTTAGCCTCAGCAAACTAATTCACTGGTTCAGTGTTGTTTCAGAATGGCGTTAGCCTCAGCAAACTAATTCACTGGTTCAGTGTTGTTTCAGAACGGTGTTAGCCTCAGCAAACAAATTCACTGGTTCAGTGTTGTTTCAGAACGGTGTTAGCCTCAGCAACTTAAACCAATGGTCCAATGCTGTTTCAGAGCGGTGTTAGCCTCAGCAACTTAAATCAATGGTTCAATGCTGTTTCAGAACGGTGTTAGCCTCAGCAACTTAAATCAATGGTTCAATGCTGTTTCAGAACGGTGTTAGCCTCAGCAACTTAAATCAATGGTTCAATGTTGTTTCAGAACAGTGTTAGCCTGAGCAACTGAAATCAATTGTTCAGTGTTGTTTCAGATGTAAAGGCCGAGTACTGCTACAGCTACTCTTCAGATTACTCTTCAAGTTACTCGAGTGGTACGTACTGTTCCGCTGGCTGCTGTGGCAGTTACGATGACCAATACTGCTGTACAAGGTAACTCTAATACTACTGGATATAACAGCTGTAGATTCACATCCGACATTAATCTTTGGGATATCTTAGTCGACACTACATCCTATGAGATCGCACCACACCAACATTTCATTTCAATCAAACCAAAATTCTCCATACCAAATTCAATTTTTATAAAATTATTGAGATCCAAAGGAAGACCAAGATCTTTACCCACCTAGTGGGTATTCTAACGTATATTCTACAGTACTATTATGTACGGAAACTTGACATGATGGTGGACGTATTGAAATGTAGATGTCATGTTCCAAACCATCACATCTTCATTGTATTGGCTTCTGCAATGTCGTGTTCTACTCGATCCTTGTACATTACCCTCAGGGACCATACCAGCTTATCTATATCATACTTCAGAGCACATATGTTAAACACGTAACGAGTGATCTACTTCGTATTCACCTCATGAATGAGCAAGAAATAGCCATGAAACGTCGTTACAAGGAATGAAGTAATTATCGAGAAGAACGTTCATATCTTCAGGTAAATTCTTGATCTTTGTTTCGAAGACTCTGGTTGTAGGTTGTCTTGTTAAAGTTGTCAGTTGTCAGACAAATGTAGGCTGGTATGCACGAAAAGTCAATTTATCGATTAGAACGTCACGACATACACATACACTCAGCTGGCTGCATGTGTTATCTGTGGGTGTTTAGCAACGGCATTTCCCATGTTGAGGTATATGTACACGAGCCATTTTGTAGCTTGGTATTTAGAGAATACTAGTATCTGCCAATAACATACAGGTATCGTCTAACTTTCAACAGTGTTTCTGCAATCGTTGGCGCCTCAGTCGGTAGCTTCTTCTTCATTGTCATCGTTATTGCTGTCATCTGTGCCTGTGTCAAGTCAGCCAACAGGCCTGGCCGTGTGGTTGGTCCGCCAGCAGTCGGCGCCACTATGGTGGTGACAACAACAGGTATATAATACGTCAGTTAACCATACATTCATCTTCACTCAAACTGCGGTCATATCGAATACAAATCGATGGCTTCATTGTACCATGATTGATTGATTGTTTGTTGTTTAAAGCCTGTTTAACACCGCACTCAGCAATATTCCAGCTATATGGCAGCGTTCTGTAAATAATCGAGTCTGGACCAGACAATCCAGTGATCAACATCATGAGCATCAATCTGCACAATTGGGAACCGATGACATGTGTCAACCAAGTCAGGGATCCTGACCACCCGATCCCGTTCATCGCCTATTACGCAAGCATGGGTTACTGAAGATCAATCCAACCTGGATCTTCACGGGTGACAAGCATGGGTTACTGAAGATCAATTCTTCACGGGTACTATCTACCATGAAGGGTAACAGTGTCGCCTACATTAACGTGTGATGAAACAGGTTTTCCTATAGCCTGACAGTTAATGTTTTCATGTTCCAGGTATGTCTGCTCAACAGGGACAACCTCACTACAGCGGCTATGCGGGCCAGGTGCCCCTTCCCCCTGCATACAACACTTACCCACCCCCAGGCCAGGGAATGTATCCCCCTCCTCCACAGTACAACGGACAACAGCCTGTCTATCCCCCAAAATAACATTTGTTGGTGATTTAATACTACCATTGACTTGAGATTAAATATCATGATAATGATAAAATGGTAATGAAAATCAAACGATAATTTTCAACGAGCTCTATATACGAACTATAATTAAATAATCAATGTTCACGCGTGAAAGTGGCTTGTGGCCATTAGTGTTTGAACAAACACCAATCAGTCATCGGTCTGACCAGCCCTTCTTATACCTGTGTACCTATGATGCAGTCATCGGTCTGATCTGCCTAACTTCTTATACCTGTGTACCTATGATGCAGTCATCGGTCTGATCTGCCCAACTTCTTATACCTGGTACCTATGATGCAGTCATCGGTCTGATCTGCCTAACTTCTTATACCTGGGTACCTATAATACGGTAATAGGTCTGATCAGCCCAACTTCTTATACCTGGGTACCTATGATGCAGTCATCGGTCTGATCTGCCTAACTTCTTATACCTGTGTACCTATGATGCAGTCATCGGTCCGACCAGCCCAACTTCTTATACCTGGGTACCTATGATGCAGTCATCGGTCTGATCTGCCTAACTTCTTATACCTGGGTACCTATAATACGGTAATCGGTCTGATCAGCCCAACTTCTTATACCTGTGTACCTATGATGCAGTCATCGGTCTGATCTGCCTAACTTCTTATACCTGGGTACCTATGATGCAGTCATCGGTCTGATCTGCCTAACTTCTTATACCTGTGTACCTATGATGCAGTCATCGGTCTGATCAGCCCAACTTCTTATACCTGTGTACCTATGATGCAGTCATCGGTCCGACCAGCCCAACTTCTTATACCTGTGTACCTATGATGCAGTCATCGGTCTGATCTGCCTAACTTCTTATACCTGTGTACCTATGATGCAGTCATCGGTCTGACCAGCCCAACTTCTTATACCTGTGTACCTATGATGCAGTCATCGGTCCGACCAGCCCAACTTCTTATACCTGTGTACCTATGATGCAGTCATCGGTCTGATCTGCCCAACTTCTTATACCTGTGTACCTATGATGCAGTCATCGGTCTGACCAGCCCAACTTCTTATACCTGTGTACCTATGATGCAGTCATCGGTCTGATCAGCCCAACTTCTTATACCTGGGTACCTATGATGCAGTCATCGGTCTGACCAGCCCAACTTCTTATACCTGTGTACCTATGATGCAGTCATCGGTCTGATCTGCCCAACTTCTTATACCTGTGTACCTATGATGCAGTCATCGGTCCGACCAGCCCAACTTCTTATACCTGTGTACCTATGATGCAGTCATCGGTCTGATCTGCCTAACTTCTTATACCTGTGTACCTATGATGCAGTCATCGGTCTGACCAGCCCAACTTCTTATACCTGTGTACCTATGATGCAGTCATCGGTCTGACCAGCCCAACTTCTTATACCTGTGTACCTATGATGCAGTCATCGGTCTGATCTGCCTAACTTCTTATACCTGTGTATACCTGTGTACCTATGATGCAGTCATCGGTCTGATCAGCCCAACTTCTTATACCTGGGTACCTATGATGCAGTCATCGGTCTGACCAGCCCAACTTCTTATACCTGGGTACCTATGATGCAGTCATCGGTCTGATCTGCCTAACTTCTTATACCTGGGTACCTATGATGCAGTCATCGGTCCGACCAGCCCAACTTCTTATACCTGTGTACCTATGATGCAGTCATCGGTCTGATCTGCCTAACTTCTTAAACCTGTGTACCTATGATGCAGTCATCGGTCCGACCAGCCCAACTTCTTATACCTGGGTGCCTAAGATGCAGTCATCGGTCTGACCAGCCCAACTTCTTATACCTGTGTACCTATGATGCAGTCATCGGTCTGACCAGCCCAACTTCTTATACCTGGGTACCTATGATGCAGTCATCGGTCTGATCTGCCTAACTTCTTATACCTGGGTACCTATGATGCAGTCATCGGTCTGACCAGCCCAACTTCTTATACCTGTGTACCTATGATGCAGTCATCGGTCTGATCTGCCTAACTTCTTAAACCTGGGTACCTATGATGCAGTCATCGGTCCGACCAGCCCAACTTCTTATACCTGTGTACCTATGATGCAGTCATCGGTCTGACCAGCCCAACTTCTTATACCTGGGTACCTATGATGCAGTCATCGGTCTGATCTGCCCAACTTCTTATACCTGGGTACCTATAATGCGGTAATCGGTCTGATCATCCGTGGGTAGTGGAGTCATCAAGGAGCGGGTAGAATCAAAAGCTGCGTACATGAGACAATGTTGCACTGGTGTTTAACTTAAGGTTTTCGATCTATGCATTCATACTCTCGTGTCTTTAGCATCGAATTCAATGCATCTTTGTCAAAGGTTACCGCTTTTTCTTAAAGAAATTGTGATAATATATTATACATTCTGCAAATCTGTATTCCGTCCATATTAACGAATTTCGTTTGTTTGTTTTCATTTTTTATTAAGGTTTTATATGTCATGATCAGATCACTGAGTATTTCTGAAAAATACATAGGTTTTTTATTAATGTGTGCCGGAATCCGCCCCATAGTGACTCGTTAATTTAAGGAATTGGCAGAATGTGTTTGGTTTTCCTGGTACAAAACTAATGTAAGTTTGGTATATGTTATTCTGCGTATTGATTTTCGTAATACCAAAACTAACTGTTGTCACGTTTATCTGCGATTGTGAAATAAATACCAATAATTGTTGGTGTCTGTGTGTTGTATGTCTAACCAACATTTATACACGGGGTGACTGTGTGTTGTATGTCTAACCAACATTTATACACGGGGTGACTGTGTGTTGTATGTCTAACCAACATTTATACACGGGGTGACTGTGTGTTGTATGTCTAACCAACATTTATACACGGGGTGACTGTGTGTTGTATGTCTAACCAACATTTATACACACTGGTGTTGATGTCTGTGTGCTGTATGTCTAACCAACATTTATACACGGGGTGACTGTGTGTTGTATGTCTAACCAACATTTATACACGGGGTGACTGTGTGTTGTATGTCTAACCAACATTTATACACGGGGTGACTGTGTGTTGTATGTCTAACCAACATTTATACACGGGGTGACTGTGTCATCAGGTGCTACACCTTGTTTGTAACTCCCTTTGTGTGTTGGGGGCGGTGGGGTAGCACAGTGGTCAAAGCGTTCGCTCGTCACGCCGAAATCCCGGATTCGATTCCCCACAAGAGTACAACGTGTGAAGCCCAGTTCAGGTGTTCCCCGCCGTGATATAGCTGGAATATTGCTTACAGCGACGTTAACCCATGCTCACCCATTCACTTTGGGAGTGTTATCTTTGCCAACACGTGCTACCATGATGTGTGAGTGAGTTTAGTTGTACGCCACACTTAACAATACTCTGGCTGTATGGCGGCGGTCTGTAAATAATCGAGTCTTGACCAGACAATCCAGTCATCAACAGCATGAGCATCGATCTGCGCAATTGTGAACCGATGACATGTCAACCAAGTCAGCGAGTCTGACCAGGTTCTTTATTGCAATAGATGTGACTTTTCACTGCATGGAAGCGGTTATGTGATATTCCTGGTGTCCAGAATATATTCTAGAACATAGTTACAAGAAATAATTTCCTCTTGGGTTCTAGAAAATGAAAACTTGATTGCTGGAAATATTGCAAATCCTAAAGTACATATGTTATAAAGAAATGTTATTACGGACCAACAAGGCTTATCACGATAGCGGTGCCGCAATTGTTTTTAATAAACCTCTGTACGATTGTGCACAGAAGTCGTAAATCCCACATGACGATATAATGAGGACACGTGTATATTGAAAGGATGGATGTCCAAAATAAAACCGTTCCTGCAATTTGATTATACGTCTGACCATGCCAAATAGCTGATGGATTACGTTAAAATATGAAGTAAATATGTTGCAAACAAAAGCGACTAAAACTCTTTCCACAATCATAAGGAACCAATATCAAATATTTAATGACAAATACCGTTGAGGTTATATATGTTGCTACCAGCGCCATTGATTGGAAAACGAGCAGGAGCTGATGATGTGTCTACTTCAGATGCCCTGATGGTATATCTGTAGACAGTTTCCATGGTGCCGGTGATATCAGAATCAGTACGTTGTTTCGTGTCGAGTAGTTCCCACACTCCTTCTTTCTCCATCCACGACATGAGCGGCCCCAGGCGGTTGTTGTACTCGGGCACGGCCGTCAGGTTATAGTCAAATATAGCAAAGCAGACCAGCCCACCTGCAACAAAAAGGACATACAACTAGCACTTAGGCCCGGATAGGCAATGCGATTATAGCTGTACCAATAGGACATACATCTAGCACTTAGGGCCCGGTTAAGCAAAGCGATGATAGTTGTACCAATAGGACATGCATCTAGCACTCTTGGGCCCGGTTAGGCAAAGCGAATATAGCTGTAGCAATAGGACATACATCTAGCACTCTTGGGCCCGGTTAGGCAAAGTGATTATAGTTGTATCAGTAGGACATACATCTAGCACTTAGGGCCCGGTTAGGCAAAGCAAATATATCTGTACCAATAGGACATACATCTAGCACTTAGGGCCCGGTTAGGCAAAGCGTTTATAGTTGTACCTATAGGACATACATCTAGCACTTAGGGCCCGGTTAGGCAAAGCGATTATAGCTGTACCAATAGGACATACATCTAGCACTTAGGGGCCGGTTAGGCAAAGCGATTATAGCTGTACCAATAGGACATACATCTAGCACTTAGGGCCCGGTTAGGCAAAGCGATTATAGCTGTACCAATAGGACATACATCTAGCACTCATCGGCCCGGTTAGGCAAAGCGAATATAGCTGTACCAGTAGGACATACATCTAGCACTTAGGGCCCGGTTAGGCAAAGCGAATATAGCTGTACCAATAGGGCATACATCTAGCACTTAGGGCCCGGTTAGGCAAAGCGATTATAGCTGTACCAATAGGGCATACATCTAGCACTTAGGGCCCGGTTAGGCAAAGCGAATATAGCTGTAACAATAGAGCATACATCTAGCACTTAGGGCCCGGTTAGGCAAAGCGATTATAGCTGTACCAATAGGACATACATTTAGCATTCTAGACCAAACTCCAGCCATCCTTTTCCTAGAGATTCATTCGACTAGTTTCACTATGACGATTCTTTCAGTATTACGTTGGTTTGTTGTTTAATGCCGCACTCAGCAATATTCCAGCTCTATGGCGGTGTAGTGTAAAGAGAACACAACATAACGGCGATGCTGTTCACAACGGCCCTTGTCACACACAGCTGTACAGGACTGTAGTCTACTAATTCCGACTGTACATCAAGATGGCCGTTTATACAATATATTGTATTTTTACAGTCATGTACATATTAGTTTTAAGTCATTTATAAATTGTATGGCTATTTGTATATTCAGAGTAACTTTCAGTGCAGGTAATAATGTTTTGTTCCATATCTTAAATAGTTAGCGGAAGAAATGTTTCGAATGTGTTCCAAATCGATGTAAAGCAACGTGGGAAAATGTGTTTGTATGTGTTTGAAAATGTGTTTGATAACAATAAAGCAACATTCTAACGTTGTAAATGCAATATTGAAACCAATCCACTGGGCCTTGTATTGCTGACAGTTATGGAATACACAGCCGGGTCTCGTACAGAATTGAAGCCAGATAAGTTTCCTTTTCATTGAATCCAAACTTATCACCAGAAATGAGTGGGGGTGTTCGTCAACGTTGTGCGCGTTACATCCCTTTACTTATTTATATGTAGATGGCTTTCAGTGAACAAGTGTTGGACCTAGGACGTATTATTTTCAGCAATACAAGCCCCTGTGAACCAGGGCCTAGATTTTCGAAGCTCACTTAGCTAAGAGTCGTAAGTTAATGTTAATGTATGACACTTACGACTATCTTAACGCTAAGAGAGCTTCGCAAATCTAGGCCCAGTCCTCCCATCCCACCTGGCTTCACCACACGGGCCATCTCGAGCAAGGCTGCACAGGGGAGGAGGCCCAAGTTGAAACACCCCGCGGCCACTGCACAGTCATAGGCGTCTGGGGAAGGAAGGGTTCCAGAGAATGTGCATTTGGTTCCGCAACAACATCAGAGCTGGTCCTATAAATGCTAGGGATACCCAGTGGTTGATCACATGAAACACTAGATGCACTAACAGGTACAGTGACGCGTACGCACGGGCGCACGTGTAAATATCTGCGGCGGAAACCTTTCCATAATCACGTTAATGTCAGCAACAATTATAGCAGTGCTAATAGGTGTGTGCTGATGATTCAGCTTAACAACAGGCGTTTCTCACAGAAGGGAATACATACTTCTGCTTGTTTGTAATTTCATAAAAGTCCCAATTTTGTGCTATATTCGTACATGACCACCACCCCCACCCACGGACAAACTAACCCCCACTTCCCATCCACCACCCCACACCCACCCAAGACCACTTAGTCTGAGTACACAACAAACAGTTCCTTTAATACAGATTGCGTGTGAAACATCGAACTTATATAAGCAGAATTTTCCTCATTTGTTTAACGGAATGGGATGACGTTACTTTTGCCTGTTAGTATATATGTCTGATGAGTGAAAGTTGTTTTTCACACCTTACGTACAGCGTTGAAATAAAATGCTGCCAATCTCACAGAAGATGAAATGTTATAGCTCATGGCCGTGAGACGATGGCCACTTAATTTGTACACTGGGTAATATTTGGGGGGCTTAGGAAAAACAATAACTGGTTAGTAGCTCGGGCTGCATTGAATCTGAGTTGTGAATATTCATTGCCATCGGAGACAGAATGCATTAAACATTACTGTAGATACGGCCTTCAGCTAATATATCTATTGCCTTTCCAATCTAAATCCACCTGACCGTCAGCCTGGCAGCCTGACATCCTGAATACATGTGCAGTATATATTTATCAATATATTAACCTCCAGCCCCATTGCACATTGTGTAATAACATTATAATCTAACGGTACGTATTCATATCACTCGAATGAGGATGACGTAGTCGGAATACCCTTTCCTGGGAGATCCTTTTAATGTTCCCGAATAACAGATGCATCGAAATGATATAAATATGTATACCTGAACTCAACACTTGCCGAATATATTTACTTGAAAATGATTTTGGGAAGACGCCTTTTACCTAACGTAGGACTCACTTTGAAACACATATATATGCATATACAAAAAGATATCCGTATACATATACATATACATACACACACACACATACATACACGTATACCTATACTCATACATATACACATATGCGTATACCTATACTCATACATATACACATACACGTATACCTATACTCATACATAT